AGGTAATAATGAACGTTTTTCAGTGGTAAAACATTCGTTCCAACACGTAAAACGGCGAACTGTAAAAATTTTTCTTGTCCTAATTTGGAATTATTCTGTTTTGAGGAATACGATATCCACCATTTCATAACAGCCTCCATTTCATCCTGATCCAAGTTTCGACTTTTCAATTCTTCAAATACATCATTTATTGACGCTTTTTCGATAAGCTTTAATACAGCTTCCGCCCTATCAAAGAACAAGTTGCATTGCTTAAACACGATTTCCGGTACAACTGAAACTGTTTTGATAAATGCAGCCATCTCTGGGTCAGGTATCCGTATCATGTTTATGGCTTTGACTCCATTAGTGGATAATAAAGGTAATTTTGAAGAACAGCTATCGAAAAATTGATGTTCAATTATCTCTGCCACTTCAGAATTTGGGGTACTACTTCCGAAGGTAAAATGTGCGAGTGCATGCGCTGCACGCTTCTCGCAATCAGATGTTAATTTTTGCGCAATTTGGTACATTTTAGAAATTTGGTAAATCTCATTTTCGTACAACAAGCGAGATAATATTCCTGCAGAACATAACATCTCTGAATTGTATACGGAAAGAGTTGGTTCAACCAAGTCAATTGATTCACGTTCAACCTGTGGACAATTACAAAATTATAACGACTTTTATATTAAGGTTTAACGAAACTTATGTGTATAAATACCGTTGGGATGACACGAGCGGCCACATTTATGGAACAACCGGTGGTTTGATGTGTTTGGAAACCTATAAATATTCTTCCTTGCTTAGGGAATGGTAATAAGTCCTTGAAAATATTAGAAGATTCATCCATTGTGGAATCGTTGTATTTGGGAAGAAGAATATGTATTTTCGTTTGATTCGGAGGTTTTTTCTTTGTTAACCTTTCCATTTCTTCACAAAAGTCATCTTGGACTCGCACCTCCAAATTTCCGCTAGCAATTTGGAGGCATACAGATGCCACTTCTGTTGGACAGTTACCAGATGGTAGCGCTCCAGGAGGGATGCAGACTTTATGTGCGTCGATTTGAACATTGCGCAAATCCGCCGATGAGAGCTTAAATATACCTTTTGGGGATTTAGTGTTTATATCAGATCTGATTTCAATTGATTGTGGCTGATCGATCTTCTTCTTGATATGAATTACGCGATCTTTATTAAAGTACACGGAAACTTCACAAAGATTGCCAGTGAATCCCTAAAAATAAATGGCGTTGCATAATTTGCGCACATGATCATCGAATGATTATCATCACGTTGTTTATGATGAAACTCTTACCAATGAAGTTGCCAGGAAACGACTGAAGTTGTCCAGGTTTGGAAACTAAATAAAAAAAAAAATTAGTTAAGAATTCAATTTAATTATTTTTAAAGCCAAAAATTATGCGTTTTCTTACTTCTCCAGGTGTTCTCAATTTCATTTCGAAAGTGGTCCACTTCAGATTTTTAGATCCATCAGGACCGTGTCTCGCGTATAATTGGTCACCTCTCCAGAAAAATTCCATCATCAATCCTCCAGATGATACTCTTTAATAAAACAATGAATAATTTCATTAACTTTGTGGACGAACTTTGAAAAAAAATTCGATCACCTACTTTGGATTTTCGCAGACAGAAAATAACGAGTAGAATCCGACTCCGAAAGCACCGATCTTATACAGTTAAATATTAACAGTTAAATTATAATGAATTTGACATAGCAGACTTTCATTAGATTATATACCTTTTGTTCATCAGGGTTTCCTTCAGCGATTTTTTTTAGTCGGTTCCAATCTTGCTCTCGAAAATGAAAGCCATTATTCTTAAAAATCGTTTTTGTAAGAGTTCCATCAGCGGTACCTTCAAATATTATTTCAACTGCAGTGGTTTTTGCATCATCTTTGGACAAGATTATAATAAGATTATCATATTAGAAACACAAAAACAAAAAAAGAAAAGGTCCAAATCATTATAGCACATCTTAAAAGTTTCTAACCCGCATTTTGCATCAATTCTCGGAAAACCACAAATTCGGCCGCATATCTAAAAAAGAGAAACCATACAAGTTAGGAATAAGAAAATATAAATTAGGGACTTGCACGGGCCTAAAAATTTGTACTTTTGCCGGCCCGCACGGCCCGCAAAATAAAATTTACTATGTTTTTTAAAAGTTCTACCCGCAATTTACTATGTTCTTGACACACCAGGCCCGCAATTTTGAGAGGTTTTTAAACATTTCAAATTTCGGCCCGGCCCGTGCAGGCCTCTAATATAAATGCCATTATAGGATTTTAAAACTTACCGAGCCAGCATTTTATCGATTAAATGCCTTTGATTGACTTCGACTCGAATTTCGGTAACCGAATTTGACATCAAATGATTCGTATGACTAGTCATCTTGATATTTCGATCTATGAGGATTAAACTTTTTTTTTTTCGTAAAGGTCTAGTTCACATAAGCTTTTATATTTGAGTCTCCGGAATTTCGGACCTTAACTCCATTAAATTGATTTCGTGTGACTAAGTAAAAATCTAGTAGAAAAGATCAACGTTACGTGATATCCCATAATCCTTTGTTTTGGAGAAATTAAAATAATAAGTTTCATATTGTCTTTGTATAAATTGTTTTGGAATCACAAATTACAAATATATACAATTTTTTTATGCTGAACATCCGCTTAAACTTTATTTTAAAATTAAATATTTAGGTATAAATTATTTATAAATAGATGGCAATATAAATGCTTATATTATAAAATTTTATCAAACAAAATGACTGCAAAGTTATCTAATAATTTATTGCATAGGCGCGTAATATGCGCGCATAATAACTTTTGTTAAAAAAGCTAAACGCATAAAGATTTAGATTTTGCTATTGATCTTTATATAATCTGAAAATGTGTTGTTCTTATAACAATGCTAGCTATGAATTGATTCATTTCTTGAAAATAGTCTGTTTTGTGAATGCTTAAAATATTGCTGGTCTTGGAAAATATGTATTTCATGAGAGCTTAAATACTTAACCCGCGCAACACTTAAAGAAGCTTATTTCTATATTTGGCAGGGGTCTGTTCTGAATTTTCCGGCACATTTTCATTTTTATCTATCTCTTTGTTTCTATTCCTTTTTGGTCTGTGTCACGGATTAAATTAGAAGGTCATTGTTGTGATTTACAAGGAAATCTATCAGAAATGTAGTCCTACTCGGAAAAGGTGCGTACATACATACATATAGGGATGTTAAAAGTCCGGTCCGGTCAAACTCGACTCATTGGAGTCGAGTTTTTATTAAAGTCCGGTCCCAAGTC